GGACAGACCCTCTTACCTTCGGGTCTCCAAGTATCCCTACCAGGTGCTAGGACTGACAGAGGAGGGCAACATCCAATGAGGATGACATCTGACCTCCAAAATTTTGGTAAGGTGGATGAAAATTCGGAAGCCTCCCGGCATGTGCCTCCCTAAGAGAACCTTAGTAAGATAACCCGTTTTGAACACACTTTCTGTCACTGTAGCGTCTCCCTGGGTTAAGTGGGTAGTGGAGGGACGCTTGGAGGCTCTAGGACATAAAACTTCACAGTTGAGAAAAACAGGCGGCCTCATGAGGGGGGCCTGTTGCTGGTGAGTTAGCACCCTAACTGGGACCAGATTTTTACCTTCTGAATCCCAGGTCAGTGACTTAAAGTCAAAGGCGAGTGTATCTCCGCTCCCTTGAAGTATCTAAGAGAAAGGAGCAGCAGTAAGAGAGACCCACGATTTTAATGTCTCACGTCAGCGTAGCTGGAAACAGCTCCCCAGATGTCTTGGAGGAATTCTAGAAAATATGGCCTAAGATTTTCAGTGACAGATACGGGAAGCCTACCGCAGGGCTGAGGGGTGGAGGTTCCAGATCTTGAGGGGTGTGCCTGTGTTAATGGGTGATTAAGTCCCAGTCCCTAGACTTGCAGAGCCCGAGGCTCACATTTGAATTCTGAAATCACCCTCTTCCCCTTCCTTCCAAACTGCTTGGTGGCTTGGCGAGAGATCAATTGTGTGTGTGTGTGTGTGTGTGTGTGTGTGTGTGTGTGTGAGGGGTGGGGGGTGGGGGTCATATGGACAGGCAGGTGTAATCCTCATAGAATTTGGGCCACAATAGCTTCTTATTAAGCAAAGTTTTATTTTCTCGGAGTTCAAAACTTAAGATGGCAAAGGCACGTAGGGGTGCCGGCGACCCCTAGCGACGACCGCCGGCGCGCACACTCTTGGGAGATGCTGCGGTCTCCACCGCCCTGGTCCGAGGAAATCAAGTTCAGCCTCTCCCACTGCGGGAGCAGTCGGAGGCCGCGTCGGAGAAACGCGCCTCTGTTCGGGTTGGAAACGAATCTGGGGATGTGTTTGAAGAGTGGTCAAGTTTGACTCATCGCTTTCCAAGGACAGTTAGTGCCTTCCATCTTCATTAACGTGAATAAAGACCTTGGCTGACTTTTGTCCAGATCGGATTTTTAAAGGCATTGTTTGCTTGGGGACATCATGCCGCTCCCCTCCGCCGGCAGCCTTTTTGCAAAGGCAGAGCCCAGTCCAGCTTGGATGGCCGAGATATCTTTGCCCGGGGACGTGGTTTGCTGGCATTGTCTGCCGGCTCTTTCTGGAAGGCTGTCGCGAGCTGGGAGCATGGAGAGCGTCCCTTCTGCAGCTCCTCTTCAGATCTTGATGATAAGACACATCCCTCTATTTTATTGCATTTCCTAGAAGCTTGCAGGCTTGAAAAAGCTCTACTGGCAGGAAACGTGATAGAAATAAAGTCAGGACATAATGTCCCCGAACACCTCGGTCACCCAAAGCGACTGCCGAGGCTACCGCGTTATCAAATTCGCTTTCATTTATTGTCGTCTCCTCCGCCCTCCCGCCCCTCAGTCAAGACAGCGAAGAGTGTTTCACCCTTAAAACAAAAACAACGGCGCGGTTTAACCCCACCACCTACCGCTGGACCACCGTGGCTAAACTGCAGCAGCTAGTTAGCTGAGCCGCTGCGCAGAAAGGGAGCGCTCCGGCAGGAGCCCTGATGGCTGGGTTCACAACGGCAGCTCGAGCCTTATTAAAATTCCTAGTTCCTACCCCTAAACACTGCTTTGCACTTCCAGATTCTCCTTTGGATTTCTCGGCGAGTTATTGGAGTTATTAGATTACCAATAATCCAACGGCGGGCCGGGATTAGAGAAGGGACGCAGTGAAGGCGGGGGGGGGGGGGGCTGTGCGAAAGGCGTTCTCCCAATCTGGAGACTGTGTCTAAAGTAGGTCAATGGGAAGGAGAGGCGGGGCTACATGCGGGTTGTCGGTTTCAAGCCTTGATGGAGGGCTCTCTCTAGTGTTTAGCAGCGGTAAGACATGATTAGGTTTGAGCTCCCGGAACCACGGGAATCCTAATTTCCATTAAGTGCATGTACTTAATTTTAACTTCCCTTCCTAGATACTCACCCCATTCCATATTAAATTTCAACCTTCGCTTTCACCTTTGTTCCACCCGGCGAAGGGATAACAAAGTCTCAAAGTAGGACTTTATGAGGCCGACGAGGCCCAGTCTTTACCGACGGCCCTGACCCCGCCTCCGCCGCTGATGGGATGCGCGGCGCAGTGTGACGCCACCCGCCAGTTTTAGGACTGGACTGCGGCCTTAGGCGCTGCGTCTTTCGAGCCCCCCGCCCCGGAAAATTCCTCTCGGAGCCCACTAGTAGGACCAGTTAGGAGAGGGAGCCCAGGGGTTATAACTCCAAGGAAGGCCCAGAGAAAGCGAGGCGTCCTTGGAGCGCGCCCGTGCGCGCGCAGAGGTCAGCGCCCCGGCCTCTGCGGAATCCTTACCGGGTCTCCACGGTTTCGGGGAAATCGGATTCCGAAATCCCGAAACCTGGCCAGGTTCGGCCTGGGAGCTCCTATTGTAAAGACTTTGGGCGGAAACCGAGCCTAGCAGGGTTCCCGGACTTGCCAACGTAGGCGGAAGGGGCTTTCGGTTTGGTTTTCCTACAAGTCGTCTGGCGCGCGCTGGATGGAGACCCTCAGCCCTAGGGACTCCCATCTTTTTGACCTTGACGGCTGGCCCAACCACCCTCTTAAAGGGGGAGGAGGCTGGCCCAACCACCCTCTTAAAGGGGGAGGAGGCAAGCTAAAAGCAAAAATAAATAAATGACGCATTAGGCAAACAGGCCAGAATTGGGCAATTTGAAGTCATAAAACGAGCCTCAGATTGGACCCGAATTCCTGGGTTCTAGACTGGCTCTGCGACTAACTTGTGCGACTTTCCCCATTTATAAAAACTGTTACGGGTAGGGGTTAGCCCGGGTGAACTCTAAGTCCTCGATCGGGCGCCGGCGAGGGATTTAGGGGAAAGTGTGCCTATTCCCCGCGAGCCTCCCCGGGCGCCCCCCCCCCGCCCCCGTCCCCCGGGTGAATCCCCGGCGGCCCTCGCGGCGCAGGCGGCGATCCTGGCGGCCGTCGGGTGCCGGCAGCTTCCTGGAAAGTTACTTCTCCTTGGAGCCGGCGATAGGCAGAGTGTTCTGTGAAATCCGCTGAGCTGAGATCGACTACATTCCGGGAATGAGAGGGCTGTGCCATTCCCCTCACTACCCCCTGCCTTGACGGCGTAACAGGAAAAAAAAAAAAAAGCACACACAATGTTAGCTACCGAAGTGCACGAAACGTTTTATTTAATGTAACCAAATTAAGGGCTGCCACGATCTCACCACGGGGCCTCCGACGCGCCTGCGGGGGCTTCGCGACAGATGGGCAGCGGTGCCCGCAGAACGCCCGGGGGTGGGCGGTCCCTGGCGGGCAGGTACGGTAAGGACGGGGTGGGCGAATCTAGCCCGGGCTTGCCGCGGAGCGCAGGGCTCGGGTGTGTGTCCCGGTATGCGAGCGCGGGAGGAAACGGCTGCTTAGTGCCCGCCGAGTGTAGGAGCCAGGGGAAAAGGATGGATGGGGGCTTTCGTGTTGGCTCACTCTCGCTCTTAACCTCGCTTCTCGTCCTTCTCTCACCTCTTTTCTTGTCTCCGCCTTCGCCTTCTGCTGTCTTCTCTTCCCTCTGCCTTTTTTAGAGGGAAGGGGTCCCTCTTTTTTCTTCTCCAACTCCTTTAAAAGATCTGCCTTCTCCTCAAGGTGCCTAATTGCAAATCCGGAGATTTTGAAAAGGCAGAAGAGAGAAAGTGTGTGGGTGGAAAGACCACGTTTAGGTCTGGCTTGGTGGTTACTGCGGCTGGGGCGGGATTGGTGATCCGGAGAGTACAGGTCTGGGCCCTTGCAGTTATCAGTTTCTCTTTGACAGCCCTGCTCTCTTGGCAAGTGTTTTCGTGTTATGAGTATTGCGCGTGGCACCGGTGGGATGGCTGAAGCTAGGTGACGGAGTTTGTCCAGGACTTTGCTGGAGATTAGCTTTCAGTCTTGGGCGAGGCTTATCCGGTGGAGCCTCAGTTAATCAGGGCTGTAATAAAGATCCCATACAGTAACGGATGGGAAAGGGCTGAGTGGTCTGTAAGAACCAAAGCAGCTGTTAGGTGCTTCCACACTTGCAGCATCTAGAGGGAGGCATGGCTTCCCACATCCACCATAACACACACTCGCTAGCTGTGGCAGCTCCAAAGATAGAGCTAGCTGAAGAAGGAGTGGACTTAATAGGGCTGTGGGCCTCAGCAGATGTGCATTTGTTTTTGCCCAAGCCAGGCAGAGGGGGAGGATGAAAATGGCCCAGCCCCAGGGCCAGGCTGACCAGTAGACCCCTGGGAATGGGGAATGTTTTGTCTGTTTGTTTCAATCTGCATATGGAATGAGTCATTGCCATTTGCCAAGGTGAAATGGCAAATCTGGGCTTCCCATGGTTCCAAAAGTCTGTGACTGGGAATTCACAAGCGAGCTGGTGGTTGAAGCTGGCTAAAGGGCAGCCTTAGGTATTCCAGAAGTGTTTAGGGATGTCTTTCATGGGGGAAGAGGAGATTGTTTATAAATGAAACTCTCACATGTCGTCAGCATTCTTTTTCAACGGAGACAATCACTGAACTTTGGTTCGGACCAATCTAGTGTCTCTCTCTTTGCCCATCTTGAGTTAGGATGGGAGAGGAGGAAATAGGTTCTTTCGTCTCGTTCTGCCCCCTCCCTTCAGCCATCCCCTTCCCTCATCCTCACTCACTCACATGCACATAACCTTGAAGCCGATGGGATTGAGTGACTGGCACTTGGGACCACAGAGAAATGTCAGAGTGTTTGGTTACAGACTCAAGGAAACCTCTCATTTTAGAGTGCTCATTTGGTAAGATTCAGCAGCCTGGAATGGGGGCAAAGTGTTTGTGTGGGGGAAAGAACTTAAAAATGAGATTCACCCACATTAGGGTGCTGTCTTGCATGTTCTACAGCACGTAGGCTGATTTGGAAGAGGGACAGGAATTTGAGCCAGAAGACCGAGGGCCGGGCCACTAACCATCTACGTGGCCCAACATGACCTCCCTGGCCTCAGGCCCCTTTACCCAGAAAATAGCTCTCAAGAGCTATGCTTAAAAAAAAAAAAAAGAAAAGAAAAGAAAGAAGGGGGAGTGGAAGAGGATTCAGATGTTGTTTTGTTTTGCAGCCTACATGTGATCATAAATGAGAGTCTTCCACCTGTGCTTTGAAATTATTTTGTTTTAGAGAAACAAAAATTTGGAGCGGGTACATATTCCATGAGTGCTCCCTGGCCAGTTCTTAGCTAAAGCACGCAGTTAAATCTTTGACCAGCAGGGGGAGCACAAGCTTGGAAGTTTGTCGCCTTCTATCCGGTCTCAGACCCAGGAGGGAAAGAAGAGGAAACTTTGAAAAAGGCGAAAATACTCAAGGAAAGCGTAGACACGCCACCTCTGGGTGTATTCTGCAGATCCTGTATTTAGTCTTAAGTGTTCAGACAATCAGGAATTACTGCCTGGCTTTTTGTCCTACCCAAGCCACTTGAACCCCTGAGCCTCATTTTCGTCACCAGTGAAGTAGGGATAAGAATGGTGACCCCAGGAGACCTTGAGAAATCATTCTAAGACTCGAAAGATAATATTTTAGCAGGTTTTGGAGATTGTCCAGAGTTCTTAGGCCCCTGAAGGACCATTCTCATTAATACTGAAAGAACCACTTTCCTTCTATTTTTCTTTCCCATGAACACAAGTGGCCTTTGGATGGTATGCGTTTTCTACTTTGACAAAGGAACTACATGTGTATGTGTACATATAATTAATGTATGCAGTTGTGTTCCCAGTACTCAGGGCAAAAACATGACGATCGCATAGCTCCGGGTGCCTGTTGTTGCCGTAAGAGCAGAGCTGGAAGAATGTTTGCTAGCTTGTGGTAAAACCGCTCCAGCTGGCAAGCTGCAGCTATCAAAGGAAAACTAAATACGTGTGTCCTAAAATAAGACTATAGTGGACAATCTAACATTCATGGAATCAATTTCTGTTTGCTTTTTTCTCTTCCCTGCAGATTTTAAGCAAAATTTTGGACTGTGAATCAAGGCATTGGGTAAGTAAATCTAATTATATGCTTTAAAATTTTGTGGACAAACTGTTTCCTTTGACTTTGCCGATGCATGTGTTGCTGTGAACTTGGCCACTTTTCATGAGATGAGAGAAAGGATGGCCGAGTCCCTCTCCCTCACCCATTTACCCCTGTGTTAGACTGTCTTAACTGTCCTGTGATCATTCATTCCCTCACTCATTTCTTAGTTCCAAGCCAATGTAGCCACCTACTATGCACCAGCAATGTGCCAGGAGCTCGAAGTACATTCAGACAATTGTAAATCCTAAAAGAGGAAGAAACAGATGGCGGCTGGGATAATGAAATGAGATCCTGATGAGAATAGCTGCAATTTTTGAGAACCTACTATGGACCAGGCACAGATCTCTAAATTTTACAACCACATAGGTATTACTCCTCCCATTTTGGGAAACCAAAGCCCAGGAACAGTAAACAATCTGCCCCAAGTCACACAGCTAGCAAAAGATAAAGCTGGCATGCTAACCTTCAAATCGGGGTTTGTCACCCTCACTGCCCGTCCGCGCTTGGCAGAGTACGGGCTCTGTGGGAAAAGCACTCTACAAATATTCATTCACTTCCGCTTTCCCCGAAAGGGCTTTCTATTCCAACTTGTTAGAGAAAGATTCTTTCTCCCATCTTACAGATGTGAACAGTAATGCCCAGAGATGGGCCCACAAATGGGTCAAAGACCCAACACAAGGGACCTCGGTGTGTTGGCAGGCTGCGCCACCTGTCTTCACAGCCCTGGTAGAGCAGGAATCAGGTTCTGGAGAACTCAACAAGATTTTGACCCTTTTCTTTCCAGGTGAAGACAAAATGGCCTCCCCGGCTGACAGCTGTATCCAGTTCACCCGCCATGCCAGTGACGTTCTTCTCAACCTTAATCGCCTCCGGAGCCGTGACATCTTGACTGATGTTGTCATCGTGGTGAGCCATGAGCAGTTCAGAGCCCATAAGACAGTCCTCATGGCCTGCAGGTGAGGGTCTGGGAGGAGAAAGACGGTTGTATAGAAGGGCGGCGATGGTGTGGGCAGGTAGCAAGGCAGATCGAGTGGGCCTTTTGCTGTGTTTAGAATTACATCTCATTTGTCTCCAGACCGCCAGCGCATGTGGCCTGGTGGAGTAGGTTCCCAGGAAACGAATGAATGAACACATGTTTGGAGAAGAAAGAGTTTCTGTTCCATGGGAAGAGAGGGAGCAGAAATGGTAGACTGTCTCAAGAAAGGATGTGTTTGGAACAAACACGGAGAATAACTTCAGTTAACCAGTGAAGAAAGGAGAAGTGAAAGGGGGTTTTTCGGTACTTGAAGCAAGTGAATTTGAAGTCTTTTGCCCTTTTAGTCTATAATTGCATGTATTTTATCCTGTGGCTCTCTTTCCATGGGTGTTTCAGGCTATGTGTGTAAGTTAGGGAGAGAGAGCCAGCCGATTCTTCCTATTTGTTGAGTATTTCAAGTTTTTGGAACTAGTTCATATTACATCATCTCCCTGAATCTCTGCAGTGGCCTTCCGTGTTATGGAGGCAGAATTACTTCTCTTTTATAGACAATAAAACGAAGATACAGATAGGTGAGCTGATGTAAAGTTGAGGATCTCTACTGCCAGAAGAGAGCTTACTCAAACTGTACAGCAAACGCCTGTGTTTTAGTAGTGATGAGAACAGAGGTTTACAGACATATAAAAGTAATAGAAAATGCTAACCTAGAGCTTACTCTGTGCCAGGCATGCACGACCCTGTCAGGTAGACACTATTGTTCCTGCTTTGCAGGGAAGGAAACTACGGTGCAGAGAAGTTAAGTATCTCGACCAAGGTTGCACAGCTACTTACTGGTTAAAGTCTGGCTCACTTCTGGCAACCCATTCAGAAAGAGCAGCATTGAGATGCCAGCCCAAATCCTGACTTGTAATTGAGCCTTCTTTCCTCTACCAGACAACATGGTCCCTGGAGGCACAGCTTGAGGTTTGACTTGTGTCTCCTAGGAATATTGACCCTATGGAAGTCTGTGGACTTTTAGAAAATCAGTAGACTGTAGATGTAGGCACCATTTTATTTATTTATCGTTGATACCCAAGTTGTTTCTAAAAACAGACAATGGCATTTTAAAAATAAGGATCATGTGTTGGAATAGGAAGAGAAATGCTTATCTCAAAGTTATAGACTAAAAATGGTTACTGCAAATGAGTGCTAAATTTCACTCTGGTAATCCATGCAGTTAAGACGATAAGGAAAATAGCTTCTGTGACTTTGAGAACATCATTTACCTTCTGATCTTGGTTCCCCCATTTGTAGAGGGGAGAATGATAATGTCTACCTTGCAAGGTTGTGAGGAACACAGTATAATGTATGTAAAGTGCTTAATGACTCTCTGGCATTTAGTAAGCTCTTTGTATATGGCAGTTATTATTAATTGCCGTGGAAATTCTGGAGCGAGGCCCAGGGGAGAGGAGCTGAACCTTGACACTGACTGTAATTGATTGCCCGTCCTGTCTGTTCTTGTGACACCTGTGTTTGTGTTACAGTGGCCTGTTCTATAGCATCTTCACGGATCAGCTGAAATGTAACCTGAGTGTGATCAACCTGGATCCTGAGATCAATCCTGAGGGGTTCTGCATCCTCCTGGACTTCATGTACACGTCCCGACTCAATCTGCGGGAGGGCAACATCATGGCCGTGATGGCAACGGCAATGTACCTGCAGATGGAGCACGTGGTGGACACTTGCCGGAAGTTTATCAAGGCCAGGTGAGCTGCTACGGAGGGAGAAGCCCTTGGGAGTGGAAGACATCTGAAATTCTTGATAATGCATGCATATCCTCTACAATGTGCCACAGCCTACGTTTCCGCTAGCTTTTGCACACTTCTGCCTTCTTAATTCTTGCACTGCTACCCAGATATGCCCTGTGCATTCATTCCCTCTTGCTTTTTTCGTTCGTTGGATGGGCCCTTTCCTCCCACCCGTCCCACCAGGCCAAGCTTGGAAGCTGGCTCCTCTGTGGACGTTTTCCAATTGCCACTCTTCCTCCCTCAGCTCTCCCTCTGTATCCCTAAGCCATTTGCCTGTCCTTCAGACCTTCCTTCTATTTTCACTATTTGCATATGTGTTTTAGTTCTCCTTTAGACTTCTGTTATAATGATTTGCATATGTGCCTTAGTTCCCCTGCCAGACTGTGGGCTGCTCTCCTCATCTTTTTTGTTGCCCCGCTCCTACAGAAGAGGGTATTTATTGAATTAAATTGAGTTCACTGGGTCTAATCCCGTCCTTGAAGGCCGGTCGGACATGACCATCATTTAAAGCGGGGGAACCTGAGAGCCCACAAAGTGAAGGGCTTTGCTAAGTGGAACAGATACTCGGGGCTTGACTTTTTTAGCACCATTTGATTAGGCTGCTCTAGGGTGATTGTCTGTCTTATGAAACAGAAGCGTTTTCAGCCTCCGTTTGATCACCTCCAGGAGTCAGGAACCCAGTGTTCCCAGAGCCGCACTGACTACCTTGGACCGTTAGAAAGCTCCTCTTGATGGCGAGTTGAAATCTGGCCCTCTTAACCTTCACTCATTGGTTCCAGCTCTGTTAACTGTGATCATGGTGAGCTGGCCTATTTTTCGCCCACATAACATCCCTTCAAGTATGTGCAGCGAGAGCTCGTTGTCTCCTGTGGGTGATAATGGTAGCGAGGTCATCATCGTGGTCATTTTCGAGTACTTTCTCTGGGTCAGGCCTTGTGCTTGGAGGGGTGAAGCAACTTGCTCCAAGGCCCATTGCCGCTAAGTGGCCCAGCTGGGATTGGAAAGCAGGTCTGGCTGCTGCCGGTCCTCCAAAGAAAACTCCTCCCAAGACTCTAGGCAGCTTACAGGCTGAGTCCTTTCTCCCATGGGCCACCAGTTTGTCTGTGACCCTCTGAACATGCATTGTGTAACTTCTTCTTTCCCTGAGCCTCCATTTCCATGTGTGTAAAATGGAGACAGTAATGCCTTTCTTCCTTTGCAGGATTTTGCATGGATGAACTAAGGGCTCTGAAAGCTTTACATTCTGTAATATCTGAAGAATTACAGATTCACACACATATACACAGAATGTGGCTTAAACATATGATCGCATGTCTAAGCAGGCACAGCTTGTGGGGCTGACTCGCTGCCCTTGTCGGGGTCCAGTCTCCCGCACTGCGGGCTAGCTTGCTAGATTTCTAGCATAAAGGCCTTGTGACTGTGAGGATTTCCCTATTCCAGAGCCACATCCCTCATGTCTAGCTGACTAAGCACAAATGTGGCTACATAACACCAGTGTCGCTCAGAAAGTCCTCTGTTCAACAATTCTCATTTGGAGGCCCGGGTCTCCTCTCTGTTTTCTCCTGCAGTGAAGCAGAGATGGTTCCTGCCATCAAGCCTCCCCGTGAAGAGTTTCTGAATAGCCGGATGCTGATGCCCCAAGACATCATGGCCTATCGGGGTCGTGAGGTGGTGGAGAATAACCTGCCACTGAGGAATGCCCCGGGGTGTGAGAGCAGGGCCTTTGCCCCCAGCCTGTACAGCGGCCTGTCCACCCCGCCGGCCTCTTACCCCGTCTACAGTCACCTCCCTGTCAGCAGCTTCCTCTTCTCTGATGAGGAGCTGCGGGATGCCCGGATGCCTGTGGCCAACCCCTTCCCTAAGGAGCGGGCCCACCCCTGCGATAGTGCCAGGCCCGTCCCTGGTGACTATAGCCGGCCGGCCCTGGAGAGAACTCCCAGTGTTTGCCACAGCAGCATCTACTCACCCAAGGAGGCAGCCCCAGAGGAGACACGCAGTGACATGCACTACGGCGTGGCTGAGGGCCCCAAGCCTGCCGCCCCCTCAGCCCGGAATGCCCCATACTTCCCCTGTGACAAGGCTGGCAAGGAGGAAGAGAGGCCCTCCTCAGAGGATGAGATCGCCCTGCATTTCGAGCCCCCCAGTGCACCCTTGAACCGCAAGGGTCTGGTCAGCCCCCAGAGCCCCCAGAAGTCCGACTGCCAGCCCAACTCGCCCACGGAGTCCTGCAGTAGCAAGAATGCCTGCATCCTCCAGACCTCTGGTTCACCTCCAGCCAAGAGCCCCACCGACCCCAAAGCCTGCAACTGGAAGAAATACAAGTTCATTGTGCTCAACAGCCTCAACCAGAATGCCAAACCGGAGGGGCCCGAGCAGGCCGAGCTGGGCCGCCTCTCCCCTCGAGCCTACACCGCCCCACCGGCCTGCCAGCCACCCATGGAGCCCGAGAGCCTTGACCTCCAGTCCCCAACCAAGCTCAGTGTCAGCGGGGAGGACTCCACCATCCCACAGGCCAGCCGGCTCAATAACATCGTCAATAGGTGCTTTCAGAGGGTTCCTGGGCCTGGGGTCAGGGCTTCCCACGGGGGTCACTTCTTCCGATGGACGCAGGGGCTGTGTCCTTTCTTGCCTGAATACTGGGTATATCATGGGTGTGGAGTAAGTACCCACTGACTGAACTGGCCTCAGTAAGGAAGCATATTAACATCAGTGATCTCAGGGCATGCGCCGTTTGGAGGTGGGCTCAAGGATAACTTTGTGGTCCCGGATCCAGAGGGAGGCGGCCCAGCTTTGGCCTTTGGGTTCACCTGAGCATGGGAAGGAGGGGGCAGCATCCAGGCCAGGTGGAGTGCTTTACCCTCTCCAGTTGCTGAGGCTCTCTTTCCTCCTGCCCACAGGTCCCTGACGGGCTCCCCCCGCAGCAACAGCGAGAGCCACTCACCGCTCTACTTGCACCCCCCCAAGTGCACATCGTGCGGCTCTCAGTCCCCGCAGCATGCAGAGATGTGCCTCCACACCGCTGGCCCCACATTCCCCGAGGAGATGGGAGAGACCCAGTCTGAGTACTCGGATTCCAGCTGTGGTACGTCCCTTCCCGGGGAGAAGGAAGGCCCCTGCCTCTGTTCTGTGGGGTTTGCGTTTCCATTTCACTTATGCTCTTGTCACTGATTGGGAGAGGTCCCCGCCTGGAAGGTCACTGGCCCTTAAATTCACCGGCCCGTCCCCCTACTCTTGACCTCTTGAACCAGGCTGATCCGAGCAAGGGATGAGGTATTGGAGTTAGTCTGGGGTAACAGAGAATGACCCCCTTTTCACGCTCACTGTAGCCAAGGTAGCCTGGGGGAGCGGCTCTAACTCCCAGAGCTTCCTCAGTCCCTCGGGACCCAACTGCCAGGACTGACCTGGGTTGGCTCCGCCGCTAGGCCATGCGCTCTGTAAGGGCAAGCCGCTGACCTGCCTCGTGCCTGTGTCTCCCATAGGTCCGAGGGAGTTTCTAACATGGAGTAGGTGCTCAGCTGACGTTAGCTGAATTAGGTTAGTTGAGCTGAATTATTAAACTGAAGTTTTGGACACTCTGATTGGCATCCCCAGTTTTTATTAGATAAGAAAGTCTGTCTTTTCCCTCAAGCTCTGGCTGCAGTAGGATAGCCCAGTCATGCCTAATCGGGGGTGAGCCCCCGTGACATGGACATGTCGTTTTCAAAATGTTCTAACAGAAGGGAAAAATCAGTTACTTACACCGTGAGATTTGGCACAGGGTTGTGGACGTGTAGTTGGGAGAGCAGAGACTGTCCCCATCTGTCCCCCTGGCTGTTTGCCTTTTCTCTGCATCCAGTCCCTTTTCTCTGGGCTGCCGTTTCTACTTCCATCCTCGTTGGCTCTCCCAATCTCATAGAAGTGTTTGGGGGACACGAAATCCAGAGAGATACAGGGTGACCCTGTTCACGGTCACTTCCTCCTTTAATGGCCTCCACGTACCATTGGATTTTATAGCTCACATTCCTAGAACACTTTGTGGTATACAGTATACTCCTGTGAGGTGGGCAGCCTGGGGGTTGACTATCCTGATTTTGGAGATAGAGACACAGATAGGTTCAGAGAGGTGAAGGGTCTTGCTCGAGGGCTCCTGTGTATGGATGTAAATAAAACAATGAACTGAGAAGAAAAGCCAGTTCTCAGAGCTCTCTAGCGGAGGAGGAGCCCTGCTGAGCTTTCCTGAAGTTGGCACAGGCCATCTGGGTAGCTGTTGGTTTGAGTTTCCCCCCTGTACCTTAGTATTCAACTCTGTCCCCTTTCTCCTCCATGAGGGAGACTCTAAATGCTCAGAAAAATAAAACTCACACAAGCCCGGAATGTCGGGTGGGTGGAGCTTGGGGGTTCCATATGGCCCCGAGGGCAACTGCAAAGGGGAGTGGCCTTGGAGCCCTACATCCCTTCCCCGTTCTAATGGTGGTGTCCCGCCTCCCCGCCCACCTCCGACAGAGAACGGGGCTTTCTTTTGCAATGAGTGTGACTGCCGCTTCTCTGAGGAGGCCTCACTCAAGAGACACACGCTGCAGACCCACAGTGACAAACCCTACAAGTGTGACCGCTGCCAGGCCTCCTTCCGCTACAAGGGCAACCTCGCCAGCCACAAGACCGTCCACACGGGTATGCTCCCCCCCCCCCCCCCCGCCGCAGCTGGGCAGGGTTCCTGGGGGCGGGATGGGGGGAGGACCCTAGAGAAAGCAGTGTGGGGCCTTGGTCCCCCGGGGGGCAGGGAGCAGGCCCTGCTCTGATCTGGAGGTGGGCCTAACCCTGTCGTGTCTTTGCTTAGCGACTCCTCCACTCCCTGTATTCTTTGTCTTTTCTCCGAGGCGCTCTGTCCTGCTTCTCTAGCATTGCTGGGGCAGAAATGTTAATCCCAACGCACAAGCGAAGCAATTAAGGCTGAGAGAGGCAAAGTAGATAGGGGTTTTGTTAGCCCAGAAAAAAAATTTAAAAGCCTCTTGATTTCCTCTCAGACCTTGCTCCTTATCAACTTACATTCCTTTACCAGGTAGCTTCTAAAAACCCGACTGTTGTCCAAAGTTGACTCTCTCTTGGTATTTTAAATGTGTCCATTATCCCAGAAACTTTCCACGAAGGAAGGCTCAGCCCTTCTATTGGCTTCCCCAGCCTGAGCATCTACTCTGACGCAGGCCCCAGGCTTCTGGCAAATGGAATCCAGCTGTCTTTCCCACAAGCGGAAAAGCATGTTTTTTCTAAAAGAGAAACTAGAGCAGCCTGATTGTCTCTTCCTGGTGAAGGGCTTGATTCCTGAATCAGTCTAGTCCTAGGGAAGAGCTGGAAGAGACTGACTCTGTCATCTAAATTCACCCCTCAAGTTCCAGAGCTGGAAGCTGAGGTCCAGAGAAGGAGAGTGACTTGTCCAAGTCTGCAGTTAGATGATCCTAATGACATCCTGTTTCCAAGGCCTCCTGGAACCTTCCCTCTCCCTGTCCCACCCCCAGTGTTGTGTCCCCTCTGCCCTAGCCTGCTCCTTGACCCTGGCCGCCTGCAGCCTGTGGTGGCATGGTGTGTGTTTGGCAAGGGCAGGAGGGTGGCAGGCCCCCTGGATCCTCTCTCAGACATCTTCCAAAGGAGAGAAAACCGAGGTGGCCCAGGAAGGGCAGTTTGCTCTGAGATCCGGGCACCCGGGACTGTGGAGACCTCCGTCAAATATAGCTTTCTTTGTTCCCTTTCTTTCGGGAATAGGTGAGAAACCCTATCGTTGTAACATTTGTGGAGCCCAGTTCAACCGACCAGCCAACCTGAAAACCCATACTCGAATTCACTCTGGAGAGAAGCCCTACAAATGCGAAACCTGTGGAGCCAGATTTGTACAAGTGAGCGGGGCCATGGGGAAAAGACCCCTCAGCCTCTGTATGCTGATGAGGGGCTCCCAGGGGAGGGGGCCACAGCCCACCCCAACAGAGCCTCTCATGCTTTGCTCTTCCATTCAGGTGGCCCACCTCCGTGCCCACGTGCTCATCCACACTGGAGAGAAGCCCTATCCCTGTGAAATCTGTGGCACCCGTTTCCGGCACCTTCAGACTCTGAAGAGCCACCTGCGAATCCACACAGGAGAGAAACCTTACCATGTATGTGAGCCTCTTGTGGCCCGCGGCTGGCCTGGGAGGGGCTTGTGGGGGAGGGGCAGGCAGCAGAACTGTTTGCTCCAATCTCAAGCACACAGTGGGATGACCACTGAACTAATGACCATAAGACCTGGTTTAGGGCTGGTTGTCAGACACGCGGCTGGACATTGGCTGTGTCTCAGTTTGCTCATCTGTAAAGTGGGGATACTGGGCTAGGTGATCTGGGCCCTTGGAAAGAGGTCCAAACTATAGCTACATCGATTTTGGAATCATTCATTCATTCCACACTAATTGGCTTCTTACAGTATGCCTCTATGCTGGACTAGATGTCTACTTAAGAGGACCGAAGGTGTTTGAGAAGGGGCAGCCATAGGAGTGGGAGGAGAATCAGAAAAATGTGGTGATATAAGAGAAAAAAGGCAGGGAAAAGGCCATTATAAGAAGGAGCAGGTGGCCAGCTACACAACAGGGTACCATGAATGGGCCATTGGGATCCTAGTGTTCTGGAGGAGGGTTTCAGCCAACCATGGCTTGCGGGCTAATTTTTGAACATTTCATGAGCTAGGTTTTAATATTTTTGAATGGCTACAAGATGGAGAAATAATATTTTGTGACATGTGCAAATTATATAAAATTTAATTTTCAGTGTCCATAAGCAAAGCTTTATTGGGACACAGCCATGTTCATTTGTTTACGTATTATCCATGGCGACTTTCCTACAACAGGGGCAGAGTCATTATTGTGATATATTCACTATCCGGCTCTTTCCCAGTTAAAAATAGTTTTCTATCTCTGCTATAGAGGGGAGAGATCCTGGCCGGGCTGCTGGGATATCTGGTTCTTATTCTGACTCTGACACCAACCCTTTTTAGGGCCATAGGCAAGCCTGACCCTCTCTCGGGACCACAGTTTTCTTTCTCTATAAAAGGATAATGATGCTGTAGGTGAGCAGTTTTCAGACTGTGCTCTTTCAGTCAACCCCACAGCCTCTTTTACCTTTTGAGTTTCTATTGAATTTGAAAAGAGAGTCCCATGGTTTATAAGCATGGAAACCACCGTGTTCAGTGACACTGCTGTGGTGGGTTTGAGGCATCACTGTAGAGAGTGATGGACACAAGAGCGAACCAATGAATGGTTAACCCATATCGCAAATGGGAACCTGCAAAATGTAGGTATTTTCATCCACTTGTTTATCAGTTCCTGAGTGAGTATCTTCTCACTTGCTTTTTGTTCTTGGGCAAATTAGTTTTCCTCTCGATACCCTTATTTGCTCATCTATAAAATGAGCCTGATAATGGTACCTATCCCACGGAGTTGTTGTTTTCAGTTAACAAATTCGCTCAAGTGTCAGGATAGTCTTTGGCACACAGTAAGAGTACAATAGATATTTGCTAGAAGTTTAGATGCACCAATGTCAAGTTAAGAGTGACCTGCAGAGCCTGTCGACTCAGTCCTTCACTGAAGGGAAAGCCAAGGCCCACGGAGAGAAATGATGTGCTTGGCTGGGGAAAAGCAGGAGCAATACTTCACCACTTTAGAAAACAGCGAAGGGACATTTGCACAAAGCTTACTTATCGCTTAGCTGGAGCCAGAATTCTTAACCTGGCCTTCCAGAGGGAAGAGCTGCCCCGATCCCTCACAGGGAGAATCTCCTTCTCTGGGTCTTCGAGCAATGACACGTTCCTGGGGTTGGTGACAGCTAACAGTTTGCCTCTGGTTTTCCTTCAGTGCGAGAAGTGCAACCTGCATTTCCGTCACAAAAGCCAGCTGCGTCTTCACTTGCGCCAAAAGCATGGCGCCATCACCAACACCAAGGTGCAATACCGCGTGTCCGCCACTGACCTGCCCCCGGAGCTCCCCAAAGCCTGCTGAAGCATGGAGTGTTGATGCTTTCCATTCGAGTCCCTTCTCAGAATCTACCCAAAGGATACTGTAACACTTTACAATGTTCATCCCATGATGTAGTGCCTCTTTCATCCACTAGTGCAAATCATAGCTGGGGTGGGGGTGGGGGGAGGGGCGTGGGGACTGGGGGCCAAGGCAGCTCCCCTTCCCCCACTGCCATAAAACATTAAGAAAATAATATTGCTTCTTCTCCTATGTGTAAGGCAAACCATGTCAGCAAAAAGCAAAATCATTTTATATATCAAAGTGGGGGAGTATGCAAAAGTTCTGACTTGACTTGGTCTGCAAAATGAGGAATGTATATGTTTTGTGGGGACAGATGTTTCTTTTGTATGTAAATGTGCATTCTTTTAAAAGAAGAGACTTCGGTATGTTATCAAAGAGAGGGCTTTAATTTTTTTAACCAAAGGTGAAGGAATATATGGCAGAGTTGTAAATATATAAATATATATATATATAAAATAAATATATATAAACCTAAAAAAGATATATTAAAAATATAAAACTGCGTTAAAGGCTCGATTTTGTATCTGCAGGCAGACACGGATCTGAGAATCTTTATTGAGAAAGAGCACTTAAGAGAATATTTTAAGTATTGCATCTGTATAAGTAAGAAAATATTTTGTCTAAAATGCCTCAGTGTATTTGTATTTTTTTGCAAGTGAAGGTTTACAATTTACAAAGTGTGTATTAAAAAAAAAAAACACAAAAAGAACAAAAAAAAGCTACCGAAGGAAAAATGTGTAGTTTTGTTCTAGTTTTTGGTTTGTATATACCTGTACAACGTGTCCTACGGTGCCTTTTTTCATGGAAGTTTTCAGTGATGGACAAGCGTGCCATCCCTTCTGAAGTGTAGGCAGACACAGGGACTTGAAGTTGTTGCTCACTAAGCTCTCTTTGGGAATGTTTGTCTCATCACATTCTGCGTCATGCTTGTGTTAGAACTACTCCGGAGACAGGGTTTGGCTGTGTCTAAACTGCATTACCGCGTTGTAAAATATAGCTGTACAAATACAAGAATAAAATGTAGAAAAGTCAAGTGGGCTCGTTCCAGAGTTCTTTCCTTGTGTTGGGATCAGGACTGGAATGGGTCTGGTTTCCTTGGCTCTGAATCTCGCGGGAGGTGCTCATGGAGAGGAGTGGCTGCTGGGGCCTAGGGCAGGCTGAGGCTGGGGCTGGCTCCTGGACGCTGGGACCCACTGTTGGCTCCCAGACTGGGACGGGCTGCAGGCTCCAGACCCTAGTCGTGAGGAACTCCGGCGGGGGGTGTGGGATGGACTGCCTCTCACCTTCTCTTTCTGGCTGGTTCTTGCTTCTGTCTGTTTTTCACTCAGAGCTCTAGGCTGAGCTTTCGTGATTTCCCTTCTTGCCCTTCTGACGCGAAGGTATAGGCGTTCCTTTCCTTCTCTGTGTCTTGGAGAATTTGCCCATTCTGTGAAGGCTCCTCTTGCCTCCTGGCTTCATAAACAATTTCTCTCTGCTGGGGTCCAGGGGACAGTATGAAGTCAGGTCTGGCCCCATCATACATTTCTCAGCCTGGTACCTGCTGTGTGATTGATGATTGACAGGTATGTATAGACTCAGAAGCTTTACGAATGGCGACCAGCCAAGCAAACCTCCATCCCTGGGGAAGTGCTCTTTGTCCAGAGAACTCTGGTGGAAGGCAGCCATTTCCTCCTGCGTGACCTGGGACAACCGTTTCCCCTTTGTGTCCCTTTCCCAACCTGTCCATGAGAGGTTTAGATTAACTAGATCATTTATGAGTCCATGATTCAGACATAAGTTCACCCTAGCTTGCTTTGGCATCCAGTTTTGTTTCACCTCAAAAAGCCCCAAGGTTCAAGTTTGATTGATGAGACCTAAGAACAGTGAGGAGAAGTGCGGTCCTGCCCCCCCCCCCCCCCCCCAGAGAAGAAAGTCTGCACTTGCCTTCTGGTTCCTGGGTGGCTGTGGGATGGGGCTGTGGAGCGGAGCCCCTCCCTGGGCCCTCTGGCCGGTGGTTGGACAGAGGTGGCCCCTGGCAGGGCCTTTGCAGCAGGCTCTGGGCACGTGCTGAGAGGTTTGTGGGGGCTGAGCACCCAAAGCCCCAGAGAGAGCCTCACAAAGTCACACCACCCCCTGCCAGCCACATGGCCTTTTGGTTCAGGTTTCCTTTGAAAATGACTTTAGAGGACTTGCCAGCTCGAGGCCTCAGCTCACCCTGCTCTTTGAAAAGGGAGAAGATGATCCCCTCTGCTCCCATAGAAACTTGGCAAAAGAACTTACAAAACAGACGGCTTCAGAAATGACAATTCACAGGCCTGAGGGTGGCTGGCCCAGGGCCCCTCCACTCCCAGAGGGCCTCCGAATTCGTTTATGTGTCATTACTGTTTAATAGAGAGACAATGGGCCCAGGGCAGACCGTGTGGGTGGCATTCAAGTTCAAACAAAATGGAAGATCAAAGAGTAACTGGAGCCAATCGACAATCAATAATAAGTAAAAAGCAAGCATCTCTAAACAGATAAGCTAGGCCAAGGGCATACAGAATTTTTACTTAAAAGGCAAACATGACATGAATGCCACGTTTTACAAATACGTAACTTATAGAACAGGGGGCTCCTGATGTTCTTCTCTATATTGTTGGAATTTTGGAGGAAAAGTTTCTGGAGACCAGGTTGGTGGTTGGGGGCAAAATGCGGAGAGGCAGGGAACTTAGAATCAAGCAGAACTACTAAGGAGCTGGAAGGGATGAGATAGTAAGGATCACCCAACTCAAATCTGTCATTGCCCTGTGAAGGGACTGAGGCAGGAGAGATGAGGGAAGTTGCTTACTGTCCCCTCTCTTGGTGTGGATGATTTTCAAAGCGCCTTTGTATCAATGACCCCATTCAGTTCTCACAGCCACCCTTCAGAGTAAGGTTACAGGGGGCTGGAAACCACATGCCCGCCTCAGACACTCCCAGACAGTGCCCCCCAGAGCTACAACTCAACCTAGAGGTCCATAATAACACCTCAAGCTGCACCTGCCCACAGAATTTTCCCGAAGAAAATTGTCCTCAGCCCCTGGAGAAGAGCCAGAACTTGGGCAGCCATATCGCACATCATGCAACCCTACCCCCCACCCCAGACTACTGATTTGTCTAAGGGCGGACACTGGATCCAAGGGCATCCAGCTCCCTGAGGGCCTGCAGCCCTATTACAGCACCTACAGTGTGATGTAAATATGTAAATAGGGGTGCTAATGAGTTGGGCCACCACTAGGGTTGTGTGTTCTGGGAATTTATAGTGAAATGTGGAGACAGGCAGCCACTCCAGTGTTTCTCAGACTTTGGTCATTTGTGACCCACCTCCATGATATTGCTATGGCATCGCACCCTGATTATTTACGTACTGTTTTCCTTTAAATCAATATACTTCTTAGGTATGCATTTTCCCCAAATATAAATTAAAATAAATGAAGTACTAAGTGCATTCAAAATAAAAATGTTCACTCATGTGTCTTCACTTCCGCTGCCTCGTGTTCTACCAGAAGCATGCTTCAGAGAATACCAGCGGGGAAGAGAAGCGGAGAGATGCCGACAGAGTTGAATCCCTGGAGGGTAGTGGGGTCGCATTAATGGCAGAGCACTGGAGTGAGGTGCCCAGAAGAAGCTTGGAAGTAGAAGGACCTTCTAGTACCTGGTTCTATGAAGCTTGTCATTGAGTGGGAGTGTCTGGTCTTAGATTTTTAAAAGATTCCATCCCTCTTATAAGCACTTTTCAATCAGGTCCCTGCCTCCCCTGCTATACCACCTGCCATTACTTGGACTGGTTTGTGTGAGTCCCTGTTTCCTTCCAACCAGAAGAGGGTGATTTACCCAGCTGCTCAGGCCTCTGGGGTATTTGCCATTAGGAAGATCCTTAGAGACTCTTAGATTGGGTCCAGGCTTCTCCCTAGTAGAGGCTGAGGCATGTTGTGATCCCTCAGAGGTAAGACAAGTGAGCTACTCAAAATACTATAAGCCACTCAGAAAAACAGTGTTGTTTCCCCAAGCCCTCAAAGCAGCCACGGGTGGCTTCTACCAGGCACCCTAGAGCCCAGCCCTGCTGTGGGCACAGGGTCCAGCACACGCAGTATAGCATCACTGAAGGAGGACGAAGAATCCACAGTCACTAAGGGAGAGGCCATATAGACAGGCGGGTGCTGAAGCGGGAAGCCCCGAGTCTAGGAAGGGGACCCAATGGGGCCGGGAGCCCCTACAGTACTATTTTGGTCCCCGAGGCCTTGGGGTCTAGCCCTCTCATTAAATGAGTCTGACACATTTAACCCCAAAAGCCTGGCTTGTCAGCACATCTCAAGATGAGTTTCCTGAGTCTCCCTTCCTTTTGCATCCTAAGCAAGCAGGTTGATTAAATAACAAGGATGCTAAGAGTCAGAATCACAGAATATTGTGACTAGATGTGGCCTTGGAGATTATGCTCCTAACTGACGGATAAAGACACTAGGTGCAGAGGGGAGAAGGGACGTCCCTAAGGTCACAGCAAGAATTTTTTAAAAAGATTTTATTTATTTGAGAGAGAGAGAACACAAGCAGGGGGACTAGCAGAGGGAGAGAGAGAAAGAGGCTCCCCACTCGGGGCTCGATCCCAGGACCCCAGGATCATGACCTAAGCTGAAGGCAGACACTTAACTGACTGAGCCACCCAGGCACCCCCAAGCCAAGAATTTTTATCAACAGGGGCCCCTGATTCCCACTTTGGTTTATGGCATCATCCCAGCCTTCAAGGAGTGTATGGTCAAATTGGGAAAACAAAACATGGACAAATATGGAGGTAACATCACAAAGAAACACAGAGATATAACATTATGGCCAATGAGTGACAGTCCTGAGCAGGGCGATGTTCAGAATGTCAAGTTGTTCCTTCAGGCCATAGGAGGCCGACAGCCTAATGAGCTGGGGGCCAAGCAGGACCATTCTCAGGGCTTTCACACATGTCCCTCCTTCCTGTGGGACTGCAGTGCCTCCTGCTCTCTGGAAAGAGCTGTCCTCCCTGATGTCACCAATAGGAGCCACCTCTGGAGTTGGCTCAGTTTCAGCTGCTGTCACACAAAATTGAGTGGCCCAGACAACAGAAGGGTATTGTCGCACAGATCTGGAGGATGGAAGTCTCAGATCAAGGTGTTGCAGGGTTGGTTTCTTCTGAGAGCTTATTCCAGTCTTTCCCCCTAGCTCCTGGCAGTTTGCTGGCAATCCTTAGCTCACCTTTGCTGGTAGAAGCATCACCTTGGTCTCTGTCTTCACCTTCACATTCTCCCTGCGTGTATGTCCCTGTGTCCCACCTTCCAGTTTTTATGTGGACATCAATCAAATTGGTGTAGGGCCCACCCGAAGGACCTCCTCATCTTAACTAATTACAACCGCAACGACCCTATTTCCAAATCAGGTCACATTCTGAGGTTCTGGGGGTTAGAATTTCAACATATGAATTTTAAGGGGACACAGTTCGACCCATGACAGGGATTGTTGGTAGGAGAGGGGCTGGTGAGATGCTCTCGGAAGAGCACAACCCTCACCTTCCCTTTGCACTTCCTTCCTGCTGACAAAAGTGAAGGGAATTGAGATTTGGAGCATGTTCGCGATGCCTGGCACTGGGGTTTGCATTCATGGTTTCAGTCCCCTTCACCACAGCCCACTGTGGCGGGGCTCGAGTGACCTCTCACGGGTGAGGAGGAAGAGATGCAGAGAGACCAGGTCACTTGGCTGAGGTCAGGCAATGCTTCTCCACTTCTCCTCCACCCAACCGTGTTCTTCATATCATTGCTGGGTCTCACATCAGAAGAACATTAGGGGACAAGGCAACTGTGCTCAGTAACCACACTTTGGTTAAGCAGAAGGGAGAAAAATCTAGATCCATGTAGGTCCCTATGGAATAGGAATTACCGAGGATGTGTATACCAGACCATTACAGGTTTGATAAAAGTCCCTTAATAAGAATGGGAGACTAATAGTCTAATCCAGCAGCTCTTGCCAGAGCGAGCATTTAAATGTTCTGCTGACTGCTCCCCCGGTTACACTCAG